ATCTGACATTCACTCCCAGTGCTGATGAGTTCCGAATCTTCGGGATCCAAACTCCTGATCTGTAATCTACTGGAGAATCATCTTCTACCGAATACTCATGACAAAACACAAGCGAGGTGGATATTCAAGAGCCAACGTCTTTGGCGAAATATCAGGATAACGGGAATAATCCCGTACTGTCACGCATGGAAAAGCACGACCAGGTCACCTCAATGAAGTGCCGACTCCGCCGAGCAGTGGCTTCCAGTAGTAAAAAAATAAAACATTTGGGAACGGGTACTGTTGCCGGTGCAGTTGAACTAACAAACTAAAACCCTAAAGGGCAACTGTGGAAGCAAGAGTTTGGAGGAAATCAAATCCCCGAAAGCAAAATCAGGGACAAAGTGGAGAAATGTCATGTTCAGTTCAGAGAGGAGGTCTGAGCGTGGATCTTGTAGGACTTGGGAGAATCGAGGCGTTTTTGGCAGGGAATGCAACATGCATCCAATCATGAACTGAAAGCGCGCGCAACTGTTACGCTCATGAAGAATTTCGACGAAGTACAGCCTCAGACTATGGAGTCAAACTGGTGCGTGCGTTATGGAAGTTGCAGTCCATTTGATAGATCTAGCTTTGATTGACAATGATATAAAAGTCTGGCCGTCAATTCAGGAGTAATAAATACAAACGATAAATCAAAGGACGACGACAGAGTCGCTGAGGAGACATAGGGACCCGGCAAGAACAAATAAAATCCTCTGCGAGCGAACCTGGTGGAGCAATAAGAAACACGGGAATAAGATTTGCTCATAGCGGTACGGCCTTTCCAGTTGAGAAAAGACCGGAATGTGGGTATGATGGAATACTTGTGTTAACTGTGTAGGAGGTTGTTATCGAGAAATGGTATAGGACGAAAAATTGGAGCTCGGCGAACGCATCGACGAGCGTAAGTGGGTAGTAAAAGTGTAAGCCACGGGCCCACACGCTATCTCTCGCGGGGACTTTGAATGGAAGGAGGGAAGCTCTTGTAGCTGTACGCCCTCAAATCCAACCCATCCTAATCCGCCGTCTTCCTTTTAAAGGTCAGCACAGCCAACCATTACAAGTTTTTTCCTTCCGACGGCCACCAAGGAAGAATCATTGACCTGCCTGTATCTGTGCCATGCTTGGCTTGGAGCCTTGGCTTGGACTGCATGGGAAGTAGTACAGTGCAGGCGTCTGAGGTGATGAGTTTCTTCCTTAGCTAGCAGCGTTCGATTCACATTGTTGTTCATGGTTGGTATGCAACTGTGATCTAGTTGTGCTTGCGCGTGAGTAAATCTGCACAAGAAGCTTACCTTCATGTCGTCCCGACTTCCCTTCTATTCCAATCTATTCGCTCACTTCTTCCTTTTCTTCTCATCCTCCTCCGTCTTTCCCTCGTTCCATTAATTTCTCCGACGTGTACGGCGCAGCAGGCATGAGCGAATTCAGCTGAGGAATCAAGGACGGTAATTATTTACACTTTCCTTCTGCGTCTGCCTAGTGGGACATGGCTCGCAGCATTTGAGTTTCATGACGTATACAGTGTGCGAGAGGGAGAGAGAGAGAGAGAGAGGGGCTTTGGACGGAGGGATAATCATAACTGTAACTCATTGTACTGACCACGAACCCTGCTGTCGATAGGGTATTAATCTACAGGAGACTAAAATGGGAGAATCGATTGTCACATTTTTCCACTTTGGTTGGGAGGCGGTTGCATTCAGGAGCGTTACACCCGCGTGTACGTTCAAGTCGATGGATTGCAGACGAACTCCGATGTCACACCGGGAGGGAACAAATTCTGAGAGCAAAGTGGAGGTATAAGCATCGTGATCGCGATGGCGCCAAAAGCAAAGGCGACAAAAACTCCTGTGTTTACTATACAAAGACTTTTGAAGTACCCCGTGACATGCATAACGCAACGTGAATGAGCGATGTTCGCTCGGGGTCCTTAAAATAAACCACACGGTCAGAAAGTAGCTTCCCTCTTGGTCCTCCTTTTCGACAGAAACATGGGGACCACGAAGACGATCAAGTACAAACGAGTGCGACGTTGATGCCATTGAGATGCACGTGACGGTTATACAAGACTGAATCTTCCAATCAGTTGGCCCATACTCAATCAGGCGAGCATGCACGTGAGAGGGGAACCTGGGAAAGGTAGAACTTATACAAGAAACGATGCAAAAACAGAAAATGTTGGTGCGGACAAGACACCGAACAACGACGAGCCTTCACAATCAACTCCATCCGTTGAAGATAGAGCTGTTACATTGGAAATGGCCCAATGAAGTAAGCTTAGCAACTATTTGTACGTTGACACTTGATCAGTCTTCGGGTTGAAATCCAAGGCCATAATTCGATCCTGGTCAAGGAGCACACTTCTGATTCTGACCGCACGTCACAGCAGGTTACTTACAGCTTTTGCTGAACAACCTGCGTAGTACAGCAGATCACCATCGTAAGGTACATGGAAAAGATAATGTGTTTGGTCTGCTTTTCATGTGTCGCTGAGATTTATCCTCGAGGTCTCAAGCCTAATCAACTCTAATATCGAATGAGACCCTGTGGCTCCCCTTCAGTCTCCATTCGAGTCTACGCTGGAGACAATGAATGAAATTCAAGACTGTTCAATTGGACGAGACTGAGAGAAGGCGAATGAGTTGAAGGATTTTCTTTCGCAGTATCTCTTCATGCACTCCCACACTGTGCAGCATGCCAAACATTCATTCTGAGACTCGATTAGTGTCACGCGTAAGACGTTGTTTACTTTGCATAGAAAGTGGATCACGTATTTGGTATGGCAATGTCCCTCAAAGAAACGATGGTGTAATTTACAGGTTTCAAACTTGTATCTAGGAGTGAAATGTTTTGATCATCTTAAACTACAAGAGAGCTCCAATTGAAGAACAGTTGTGTAGTTATATAGTTTAAGTTCAGGATTGCAAATTTCCAATGCTGACGCAAACAGCAGATGAGAGCGACTTCTCGATGATGACGCGACATGATATTGAAATAGATTCTTCAGACTGTATTTTTGGAAAATGAAGGATGATTGTAGGCCAGAAACTTTCTTGCACATCCATTGTCCAAGCATTCAAGGATCTTTGGTCCTGAGGCTTGAAAATATCGTGTCGACCCATTGGTGATGACCAACTTTTCCTGCTCGTAGACCCAGAAACTTCGTGAAAGATTAACCCCCATCCGTAAGTTTTCAGGCTTTTCATGCGCCATATTTACCGAGCTTCGAAATTTGGCACGCAATGCTCATAAATTTAGATGGAAATGTATGTTAAGACTTGTATGAGAGAAGTACATTTGGAATCAGGAGTCTTGTTGACGTAATCTGCTTATGAGAGACATGCTGAAGATGATGTGAGATGAGACAGGAATACCTAGATGCTCAATTCAATTGGCGATCCCCGAATTCTGGTGCCTCTTGAAAGACCATCTCGTCCCGCCAGTCTTCGAAGTTCGAACGTGAAACGTACCCCTTCTTGACTGTACATATATTCGTGCTGCTGGTCTGGGAGTATCGTCGACAGTGAAGACAAATCTCAGAGCAAGTTCATGAATCCGAGTCTTCTTAGATTCTAAAGAAAATTCACGTCTTTTTCGGTCTTCCGCCCCCATCCACTTGTCCTACGTCATTGGATCGGGAAGAGCGATCAGGGATACAAGTGAAGGCAGGTACACCTTGACGCTGAAGCGCAGGGCAAAGAGGGCACAGTCAGGCCTTAAGTTAAGCAGAAAATTTAAGCCCAAACGATAAAGTGATATTAAACAGAAGTGAACTCGACACAAAGAGCTGAGTTTACCGGACCTGACACGCAGTTTACACGGTAATCACGGGGAGCCTGGAACTGATCATGAGCTTGCTCATGATTAATCAAGCTCCTGACTGACTGTCCAGTGAAGCTGATAGTGAGCATGCGCCGAGACTGAAGCTTGAAGATCGATCGCTCGTGAACCCGTCTGTCCTGGATCTGCAACGGTCTTATCAGAAGGGGATATTTTGAACACGTCGGCTTCCAATTCCAGAAGCAAGTACTAGTGGAACTTCGGCAGCAGCTCAGCAGCTAGGCATGTAAGACTACCGCGGCTCAAGAAAAGTAGGTGCAACCATGTGGTGCCAGAAACAGACACCGGGACCCGTACCCTTTTCCCGTATCTGCCGCGCCTTACCAGCAGATAGGGGGAAATAAGAAGAGAGAGGTGGCCCTTGAGGCAGCAGGATCGAAGTATCAGGCAACTGAAATGAAGAACAGTCGGGGTAAGACTGTTCTCATCATTGCGTAGATACCTCGAGCACGTGAGTTATCGACCACCACAAACCTACAACGCATGTTGACAACTCCGCCTGAGTGGATGGATCGGAATCAGCGGGTGGAACGGCGAAGCTAAGAGACAAAGCTATAGTCAATCCTGCTCTGGTACCAGCCTAGACATACTCATTCACTCGAGCATCTGCGAGGAAAGTTGAGAGTTCAAAGCCTCACGACTGTAGATGATTTTCCCTTTCTTCCGACCGTTCGAACTCTAACTGAATCAAAAATACACTGCATCTGGCCGTGTCCACTGCTCTTGACTTTGGTCCGATGTCCTCCTCATGGTTTATTTGAGAAGGGCTAGCCCTGAGCATCCAGGGAGTTTGAGAAGTAAGCAAGCAAGCTAGCCCAGCTCGGTCAAAACAGCTTGTGCGCTGGGAATCTGCCGTTGACGTCACGCCGGGAAATAGCAGACATGGAGAGTAATCTTGACCACTAACGCTACACACGCTCCACCAAACGAAGATTTTGGCAACCCAAAAACCTAACATACATTCAATTGCCACATTCTCATTGTCCCAAACACATCACTGTCACCAAGTTTCACGAGGCGTAATCGGTCACTTGATATCTAAGAAGATGACAGATCCCGCCCACTTTGTACAACCACATTTGAAGAAGCTTGAACAATGATCTCTACATGACAATTCGAGCTCTGTCACAACAAGGACTCAAGGAGGACTGCTTCAAATTTTATTATAAAGAACACCAAGGACAAAAGGGTTGCTGACATCTTTCGAGCCTCTCCAGATCATTCTCCTCCAGGTCTGAGAACAATGCTGGAGGATTCCCAAATTCTGTAACAATGAAAGAACTCGTTAAAACGAAGAGGCGGCTAGTCACGACCTCTCCGATCCGGGAGTTGAGGGACACTACTGTCCACAACAAAGATGCTGGACAGATTTGAACCAGCATCAAAATATTGTGCTGCAACAAAATAAAATAAAATAAAAAAACCCGACCTAGATCCTGTCTTCACCTCGCTACTTCCAAGCATGGTATGACGGCTGGAATTCGAAGGTGAATACGCGAAAGCTTCTCAACCTAGTAGTTTATTGGTACTAGATTTATAGTCTGTAAGTCAGTACATGGTATTGATACTGCAGTATGGGATCTCTAGATGACTTCGGGCCAGCACAGGTATGAATGAACGCATTCCTTTTGGCTTCAAAGTTGTGTTTTGGTGCCCAAGCGATAGTTACATAGAAAACAAGGACCTGGGTTTTCTCCAGCTTGACAGATAGACAAGCAGGGGCACAGAGTCCTCGACAGGTGATAATTTTAAAGGATTTCTGAGCACAAATAGATATGAATTGGTGAGATAACTCAATACCCCTGATTCTCTTTCTGTCAATCTGGAGAAAACCAAGGTCCTAATTTTCCACGCAACTATGGATTGGGCATCAACACACTACTTTGAATGTCAAGGGCTAGAGAACACTCAGACCTGCGGCTACCTTCGAGTCTCCTAGAGTAATTATGAGCTGCAGCCATGAATTTGACATATCTCCTCGTACACATTGCAATTCTAGATATGCCGAAATCACGTGTAATCGTGAAATCGAAACCTGAGCTGTTGCAACTGTGAGCTTGGAGCCCAGGCGAGAAGGTTGGTCCATCTTCGGGATTCCAACAATCATTCCCAGGAGGTGAGAATCAATCCGCCACCACAGATTCGATCATCCAAGCTTTGCCAAAACAGCTCCGGATCTCCATCCGACGTCACGGCCATCCAGGCGTTGTCATGACAGCTCCGGATCAGGTCATGATCTCAAGCGAGAGCTTCTTCCTGCCAAGAAAGATCACTAGGTTATGTTGGACCATCAGAGGTTTTGCACACCATGTCATCGACTAGTAAGATACACACAAATTTATGGTTCGAGATCTGTTGAGTGACAGTTCCTAAAGAGATCGATGATGCAGTCCTCGTGAGTGCTCACTAATACTAGTACTACTCCAGGACCACGTGATTTCCATACAAACATGACAGTCACTAGTCTCAAACTTACAGTCTATATTTCTCACTACTTGTCATGCGATGGCGGTGAGAGATGCGGCGATCGCTACTGTAGGGACCGGTGCCCCTTCCGAAACTCAGAAGCCAGTGCACTGCTTCCCAGAACTAGTGCTAGTAAAGTTTCGAATGGACTGTAGGCACAAGCGAGCGCGGCGGACATCTGGATCTACAGATGACTCGACTCGACTCTGACTTTGACGCTTCGACTGCGAACTGTGATTGCAAGGCTCGGGGAGTTCTCCTATTTATGGGACTGAATGAATGTATTGATTAATTAAAGGAACGGTCTTGTCTGCATCGCTCGGAAGTTTTCTGAACTACCTAAGATCTCAGTCAGCAAGATGCAAAATATTGTTGGACAAACGCCCCTCTAGCATTCCGACCGTAAGCGCCCAACCAGACTGGAAAACAACGAACTCCTGCGGTGCTGACCAGCACAGATGCTGTTCGCTCACCCTCCCTCGCGATTCGGATCCTTATTTCTACCTTGCTTGCAGAAAACGATTCTTCGAGTTTTGACCGAGTTGGCAGCAGCTCCGGTGTCGAGCTCGAGGATAGTGCCCACGGACAAAGGGAGAAACGTGACCAGCTGGGAGCCTAACCCGAGAGGAAACTAGTTTCGTTTGGCGTTATTACTGGTCCAAGGCGAAAGGCCATAGGCGAGGTAGAACTCTAGAAAGTCTTCCAGAATCGGAATCATGGAAGATAGAGGAACGGAGCTTTCGTTTCGGCAAATCGCCAGCCAAAGTGGCATAGCATAACAGGCATGACTGGCTGTCGTGGACTCACATCAACAACAGACTCCTCAGGCCAATCACTCCGGACGCAGGCTTCGATTTGAGCGAACGCAAATTGGAGCCAAGTCCGTCTGTCTGAGATGAGCAGATGCAGCAAGCACGATTTATATGGGCGGAGAACAAATGATCGGCACGAGAGGCGGTCCTTGCGAAACCTTGCACCCGACCCGAAATCATATAAAATTCTCGTAAAGCCGTTCAGAGTTTTCCCGTACACGCTTTTATATGATATGTCGCACCAAGAGGTGGCATCGTGTACTGGGCTTACAGGGCAGGCGAGGCGAACCCAAGAGGAAATGAAGAAGATCTGGAGAAGGGCGGAAAAAGAACCACCACCACCTCCATCACCGCCACCGGCCCCAACCCCCTCGGCCCTCCTTCAAGCCGGGCATGGAAAGCGAGCGATTCTGCTGCTGCAGCAGCCCTCGGCCCTCCTGCAGGCAGCGCCACAAAATTTCTTTTCCTGTCGGGATTCTTTTCCTCTTGCAACAGGTATCGCGATTCTCGACGTTTCCTTTCTGCGGCTTTCAGAAGCCAAAGCCAGGAAATCGAATCTCGGACCCATTAAATATACATCCGATCCGATTCGACGCAATTCGAAGGCCGGGCAGGGCCTCGGCGACACAAGCTGGCGCGCCTCTAGAATGGAGGAGGCGCGCGAGAGCTGGCAGGCGCCTCTATCTTGAAGGAGACAGAGAGAGAACGAGCCGCTGCGCCTCGTCACTACTAGACACAAGCCGACGCACGCGCGCGCGCACAAGAGCGCAGCGCTGGTGCTTCAGAATCATATCCCTCCTATGATTGCCCGTACTTGGCGGTCCTGAAATATTGCCGCCCGTTTCCTGCGAATTTGCCGAATATTTAAAGAAGATAAAAAGGAAATAAAAAGTGCCGCGCAGGACTTTCCGTGGTGTTGTCCGACTTGCGGTCATTATGTCTCCAAAACGTCGCTGCCACATGGCGTCGGACCGCAGGTGACGCACATTCGAGCATCCTCTCTCATCCGTCCCTCCTCCTCCCTCGCCTCCCCTCGCCTCGAGCACTGCGGAGTGTCGGTCACCAAACCTGGCCGGTCCACTCTACGGCATTGCCCGCCCTGCCCTGCCCGCCCCGCCGAGCCACCGGCGATACGGTATCCGTCGGCCGCCAGAGGCAGGCAGAGGAACGATGGGGTTTACGGTAGTGAGAGCGTTTAGAGAGAGTTCCATGGAGGGACTGGTGCCGGGAGCGGGAAGGGGGGGGGGGGACAAAACTCTGATACTGCGTCCTGGCCTGCGCTACGTCGGCTGCGGTCCCGGTAGGCCCGGCAGACGACGGGCCCGGTGACTATGCTCAGCCGCCGGTGAGCAGTCGTCGTCGATGCCCTCCTGCTCGTTCGTTCGTTCGTTCGTCCTCTGTTCTCGCAGCTCTCACTGCTCGTGCTGCTGCTCATGCTCGGCTGGGCTCGGACGATGCTGTGAGTGAGACGACTTTCGACGAGTGCCTCCGTCTTCCTCGATGATGCTCGTTACGATCTGTGGCGATCGTGCTACTTTTTTCTCCTTTTCGATCTCGCAGGCTGGGCTGGCTGGCTAGACTTTTCTTCTCTGTGCCCTTCTGACTGTCTGACCATCGACAATCCCCTCTTTCTGTTGTTTTTTTCTGCTAGGTTTTCGATCCGCTGGCAAGAATCATTTCTGATTCTCACGCTCTTCTATCTCTCCCTCTTTTTTTAATCGGGTCGGTAGCTGGGCTGGCTGGCTGGCTTGGGTGGGGTGAGGTGGGCGGGCCGGGCCGGGCCGGGACGGTGACGGGGTCGAGGACGAGGAACCAAGCAAGGTAGGCACGGGAGGCTCGAGAGGGCAGGGTGAGGAGCTTTTAAGGGTTTGCCATCGCTGCATCGCGTTTTTTCTTCCTCCTTTTCTCGCATTCTTCCGGAGTGATGGCTTTGCGTGGTTCCCACCGTAATGGCTGGAGTTCTGGTGAAGAAGAAGATCCCGATGAGAGAGAGGAGGACCAAGATCGTGATGAAGGCGGCCGCATAGGTCGGCCTCTTCGTTCCACCATCGTGTGTGTTCGTCCTGATGCCGAATCTGCGCCTCATAGCCCGTCGCTGTCGCCTCCGAGTAAGGTTGTAAACCTGACTGAAGATATTGAGCATAGTGGCAGGATAGAACACCTGAACACCGATCGCCTCACGGTGTCTCATCGTAGGGACTTAGAGAAAGGGAAGGAGGCAATTCGAGTTTTGAAGGGTGTTGAATTGGAGCGAGGAGTGCCTCCAGGAAAGGACAGAGGAACAATTAGGTTCAGTCGAAGTTCGAGGGAACGAGATGCTGAAATACCTACTGCAGAAGTTAGGGATTCAGATCGAGATAGGGCGACGCAGAGGGATTATCCTCAAAAGGACCGTCTAAGAGATAGAGATGAAGGCTTTAGACGAGAGATCGGCAGGCGGGAAAGTGAAAAACTGCCGGATGTGGGCCACATTAGGGATCAAGACCAAAGGCGGCTTGTAGGTGACGTGAAAGGGAAGGAGAAACGGTATGCTAGCGATGATGTTCGGGGTACTGGATATCATAAAGAGAGAACCTTTTCAAGAGACGGTGGATCCTTTAATCAGCATGATCGTGGTCATAACTCACATAGTTTGCGCAGGGATAGAGTTGATTCACATAGCTCTGAAGAAAGAGATGCTGAGAGCCCGAGGTTCAATTCTCGAAACGAGGGACCTAGGAGCAGTAGGCAGGATGATTTGCAGAATCCTTGGAAAGAAAGAAATTTCAGAGGGGAAAGAAGGAATGAAATTGATCGAGGGAGAGACAAACACCGAGATAGAGGAGATGGTCCATTGCCAGAGCTTTACAGCATACACAAAGCCACGGTTCACTCGATTCGGCCATTCGGTTTGTTCGTTAAATTGGATGGCTACAGGAACCATGGCCTGGTCCACATTTCCCAGGTCAGCGATCACGAGGTGAGAACAGCATTACCGTTCCGATCACGTGTTTTATTGACAATGCAGGAGATATCAAGAATTTTTTTGGTGCTATTTTGTCCGTCGACAAAGTTTTAATCCATTTCAGAAATGTGCTTGAATATAAGTTTCAGACAATGTTAGATTCTGGAATATAAAATTATAAACTGCATTACAGATTATCAAACTGTTCTTTTGAAAAAAAATATCAGCATTTCAAGTTGTGGTGTTAAGTTTCTTTTCCTTTTTTGGAAATGGAAGGAAAACCTACACTCAAACCCTTTGCTGTAGAAGACAAAACGCAATTCATCTGTATGAGTTCTCAACCTTTGGCTGTTCCTGGAGAAATTCCGGGTTCTTGACAATTTGAAATTAAGAAATAGTCAGGACATGTAAAACTGACTTGCGTGTTCAGTACGAGTTGGCCTTTCAGCTTCAATATCTGTCTAATGCGTATTGTAGATGTTTGAGCTTCAGTCCGACCAAATGTACCTTCCACAATGGATAAGAATCATACTTTTGCGGGAATTTTGCTCATCTAACTCAGTACTTCAAAAATTATCCCAACTTCAGCGAGACGAGTATTGTAATGTGTAGCAATTCAGTAATGTCAGAAGTCTAAGTGTAACCAATATAGGTTTGATGTCTTGGCAGGTAACCAAAAGGGATGATCCAGATGCTGTGAAAGTTGAAGCGTTGTCATCAGTAGCAGCTGAAGGAGAATCCATCTACGTGAAAGTGATCTCAGTGAAAACAGAGGAGGATGGCAGTGTGAAAGTCGGGTGTTCGCTCAAGTATGTGTCTCAGGGAGACGGAAGAGATCTGGATCCCAATAACTTGCAGCTGGAAAAGCTGCAGGCAAAGCCTGCTTGGCAGGCGCCTAAAAAGGCAACTTCCTCATTCCTTTGTTTCCACCTCAAAAGAGCGAATGAGTTCTTCTTTGAGGCCTCCTTCACATTATCAATTGTGGAAGAATGATTGAAGTAGGATGCTTTAAGCAGGAGGGAGGACTTACTTTTGGGGTATGGGAAGGGAAGCGGTCGGAGACCAAATACATGCAAACTAGTAAGTTGAACACCTTGGTTTGAAGTACATCGCTTTCATGTTTAGCTAGATGGAAGATTCTATAAGCGAACTTCTCTGAGGTATGCCTGAATGCTCGTCTTCACTATCTGGCTCCAGTCTGTGGAATCCATCCTCAAGCGCTGGAACTGACAAGAGAAATCTGGTTGCTTGTGCTCAGATGCAATTGGAGGCAGTGTATAATGTGACCTGTACGCGCTGTGGGGGTCACGGACATTTGAGGAAGGAATGCTACTCATCGGGTGATAAAACCTACGACCTATTGCAAGAAGGTGATGACAGCCTTCATGGAGAACACGCGAAGGATAATGGAAATGTCGTGTATTCTGCCCTTTCACTAGGTCAGTCTTCTAGAGCTCCAAGTGGTCCTGTTGGCAGAGGACGGGCTATGGTGCAGCCAGCTTGGATGAAGCATGGCGTCCGTGTTGGTGACGATGCAGACAAAGTCTTAGGTCGTAGGACTTCAGCTGGTGCCAATGAAGGCTACAAGGACGAGGCAGCTCTTCCAGAGAAGGTCACGACGGTGCAGGAAGCGTTAGCTGTCATCGCAAAGCTGAAGGAAGAAAAACACCGTAAGAGAGACGAGAAGAGGGAGCGGAAGTCCCACAAGAGCTCGAAGAAACACAACAGCAAGGATGGAAAACGGGATAAACACAGAAAGAGGCATTCGTCCGATGACGAGTACAAGAGTAGGAAGAAATATAGGATCTAAGCGTCGCCACCTGTGAGGCTCATGAGGAAACCAGCAGAGATAATGATGGTGCAGCTGCTTGAAAGCCTGTCTTGTTCCTGTGGCCAGCTGCCCATTTTCTTTCTGTTTTGTCTTCGTGTTTGAGAATTCAACACTCTCATTTCCTTGTAGTATTCAACACCGTGAATCATGATTGTAAAGAAGGGAGTAAGCATTTGGAAGTTCCCGGAAAAAAACCGTCTGATGCACGAAAGATGTGCGACTGCCGACAAATCTACCAACGTTGACATGAATATTCGCAACATTGTAGGTTGAACTTTGAATCAGATGCCTGCAGACTTTGAGTCATGTATGACATATCTCATAACCAGTTGCTGCACGGAGTGTGGACAAGGTGCCTTTTTTTACCACCTTCGATTCATAGCTAATTTTCAATCCGCTACCATGACCTATATGTGAATTAAAAACTGGAGCTGGTCTATTTAAAGAAATTGAGTTGGTGGCCCATGATGTTTTCATACGCAAGACTTGTTGTAATTGTTGGAAAGGCACACCAGAAAGATTATTGAGCATGCACTCTGGTTAGTACGTGTTTCAGACCGGCGATCGCCATTTTTCAGGGTGGTAATAGTATATTCTTGAGTATCGACCAGTGTCACCAATGAAAATATTGAAAAAACCTCATCACTTTTGTTTGTCTCATACTTTTACTGTACGCTGTTTGAAGCTCTTATTCCTTGATTACACAATGACGTGTTCAAGTTAGTCTTCACTGGCGGGATAAAGAAGTTTTGACAACCGAAGATACGCTCAAAGTTGTTTACGAAAATCATGTACCCATGACGATAAAATATGCCCTATCGTGAATCTGCTTTACGCGCACCCCAATAACTTGGTGACCCACCTCTCACATCCCCAGGGCGTCGAACGAGAAAGAGCGTGACATCTACGCATGTATACGCCATAGCTCTTTGTGCATGTTTTGCAAGGTGAGAACAGTCCTAGCTTAGTCAGTTATATCCTGCACGGACTGAATCTATTTGCAGACCTACATAGCCTCCGTTTCCAGATCAAGACAAGTCTGGACTAGTTAACAATCACGACCATGAGTTGCCCGCCATCGAGAACATGTCTCTACGTGAAGACAAAGTCTAAACTACGGCCATCTATAGGTGCGTTGACTAAATGGTTCAAAATTTATAGAAATTTGTTGAAAGTGTTCAGATCGTTTATTGGTTACTGCTTTCTGGACGGTAACTGATTGTTTCAAATCAACCAGAATTTGTATGGGTCATAGTTGGTCAAGTTCGGAACAGAAAGTTGGGGCAGAACTACACATTCTCGTGGGCTGACTTGGTCATCACACAATAGAATATGAAGTCCAAACCTAATCGAGCCTCAAAACTGTAGATCTGCCCAAATGTTCCAAACTTGAAGTAGTTTAGAAATCAATTTTTGTCAAACAAAAGCCACTCCTTGTAGGGAATGCAGTTTCTTAGCTATAAAGTGCCTTTGGTTTCTGTTCCTTAACGGTAAAGGTTTAACTAACATCTAGGTTGTTCGTTTGTCGTTGTTTTAAAATACAATATTCATGATATCTTTTCTTGAATAGTGTAACAGAGTGAATGATTTGCAATGATTTCTGATTGTTCTCTCTATATGGTAAGTTATAATAATAAATTTTACAAAATAATTAAAAAATAAGTTTAAAAAATATTAAATCAATATTTTTGATTCAAAATATTTTAAATATATTATCAAAATCAATTACATGTAAATATCCATATTCTCATGAAAATAAATAGATATCAATGTAAAATGCATTCTGTTTTTGATACAAAAGATATCATTCATTTTGGAATTAAAACTCAATCAAGTCTACTAAATATTATATGTCATATCAAGTATATATCAAAGAACCAACTTCATACTCATTTCTATAAATATACAACTATTGTTATGGACTCATGTATATGGTTTTGGTTGCATATTGAAAATTTAGTTTCCAAATTTTTTTTATGTATTTGATTTGTTCATTATCCTATTTGATGAAACTTTTGTCTCCATGTTAATTACGGTGAATTTTTCAATTTGAAGAAACATATTCTTTGTGATAATATTCACTATAAAGTATATTTAGTTCGAGAAGAGAGATATGATGGATGTACTTCCATGGTAGATGTTAGTTCATATGTTATTACATAGTCAAAAATCTGGCCGTTAAAGACATTATCAAAAAAATTCAAGTTTATGTGGTAGTTTATTTTCAAAAATATTATTTATGACAATAATTTTCATCTTAGAATAACAATAAGTTATGGAATTTATATTATTTCAGAAATATGTTTACATTATAGATAATATAGGTTGAAATTTCTCCGAACTTTGTATCTTAGAATTAATATATAATGTAACCAATTGAAATTGCATCTAAGAAAATCCAATTATATCAATAAGTTGAGGCTATCAACTCCAAAATATATATATATATATATATATATATAAAACCAAAAAATACATTGTTAGAATACCATAATAGAGTCTTCCAGTTTATATTATTTTGCAAATGAAACAATCTGTTAATTGATGGCATCCTTGCGGCGATTATGTGACCTTTGATTAATCATTGCACTGCGTTAAAGAATTGATGGGAAATAATATCGACCAAATCCAAGTTAACAAATGTTATGCATCACGAAATGTATGCATTTTAGGTTGAAAATAGTTGTTAGAGTGAATTCATATTACCTAAGTATTTGTCATTCCATTCATGTAATGAAAGCTTAGTAATTAAACGCACTACGTTGTTGGTATATATAATCCTACGACCGTCTGAGGCATTGTAGACGGGTATGCAAAGACGGACCTCATAAATATCTTAATTGAGGAGGACACAAGCCCTCAGTATGACATCTTGAAAAATGTCTGCATATAAGGAAAGAGTAAACTACCAACTAGTGAACCAAACTGCCGTCTTGATTTCGAGATGCATAGGCTTAAAATCAGAATGCAATATGAAGTCTAGAGACTATGTTTGACAGTTGGAGATCTTTGAAGGGAATTGAAGAAATCTAAGGTCTGATTCCGACAGTGTCGTGTCAGAAGGTCGATTGCAATCTGTTGAAGCAAGAATATTGAGTTTCTCATAGATAGATACAATCCCGATACAATTCCAAATTTGATGACATTTGAGGTGGATGACTGGTCTCGGAGTCAGATTTCAATCGGGCATTGGTACTTGACGAGATCTCAGATCACAGATTTACAAAATCCAAATAAACTTTGAATCTAGTGAGGACATGCATGATTCCAGATATTTCCAATCTGAGATTCAAATCTGACTCAAAGGTGACCCGACTTGTCCAGTCAGTCTCAAGCAAGTGAAGAAATAAAAGTGAGCTCCTGCGACATGATAGGAAGGAGAAAGGTTCCCTCGAAACTAGAAAGCGTTGGTCGGAAAGATGCATGCATATATACCCTCGAGCCAAGGCCCATGGTCCTATTTATAGAGATTAAGACGTGTCTTTGTGTCGAAAAATCGAGGGCGGTTAGTTGAAGATCCGACGAGACCAGAAAAAAAAATGAGCAGAGATGATTCAGGAAACATGAGAAAGCTCTCGATCTCAAATGGAGGTAGGAGAGGTGAGCGACGATGATGTCGTACCGCGTGTATCTTTTCTTCTCTTCGAGAATTCATGTCGCGGTTGTACTTGCCAAAGGCATGGCCCTGGAATATGTGACAGCAGCACTCCATCATTACCTTTAGTACTCGCTTTCTACTTCATCATGACATGTTATTATATCACTTTGTTCCCTCGAAATTTGTCATCTGCGTTGTATCATGGGAGCATTGCAGCAGAATACTGTCTGTTGTGTTGCAGACTACTGTCATATGGTCTTTCGTGGACAACCTGCATGACAGGCGCAGAGGCTACCAATTCTTCAGGCCGGCGTCGGGACCTGATAGTTTTTTCATATAATACCTTTGTCAATCGTTATATGTTCGCGGTCACGTGGTGTTACTCGCGTCTTTAGCCTTTTCCACCTACCGAACCAGGCGTGAGAAGATGCAAACTTTGTTCTGCAGTCGAAAAGGGTGAAGAAACGGAGCTTTGAGGCGTCTCAAAACGTCTCTTTTCGATCAGAGCGTGAGGAAGGGCCAGAGCTGCGAGCGCGCACACGCGGACCATGTGAACGCCTATGCAACCCAGCCGTCCAGCCTATGGCCTCGCAGGAGCATGTAAATTATCGCGCGGCTGCAGAGCTTGCCGCAAAGTGACAAACTATGCGATCGAGAGTCAACGTCGTGTTGCGTCACTGTGCAATATACGCGTGCGACTGTTGCTCGTTGCCTGACGTTGAGCCTCTCGAAGACTCGAAATGGTGCATCACTGGTGCATGGAAAAGCTACCGAGTACTTATGAGCATTGCCAATTTAATTCAGGTCAGATCTGTGGTGTCTATCGCCGCTCACATGACATTGCAAAGTGCATCAGAATCGGGATTGTGGTGCCTGTGGCAGTTTGCGATTTGTCTGCTGTGGGCGTGGCCACCCTTGCACCCTTTCACCAGTTGCACATATGCATCCTGTCGGAAATCAATCCCGGGTAAAGCTTCAACCCTATGCAGTATTTCCATGTGCTTGTGGAGCGCCCTCACCTCATGCACGCGACGAACCTTATACCAAGGGTGTACAAAACTTTCCAATTCAGCAGCCCGTATCGCCTCCGGACTCTGGAGCTCGGCCGCTGTTGAAGCCAATTCTTCTAGGTCACTGACCCTTGTTTGTCTAGCTCCATGTCTATACGGATCGCTTTTCCACATATTCCTACGGATCTTCTGGAGATGCGCTCGTGCGTCTTGAGACTTTTCTGATTTGTCTTGTTTCTGCACTATGCCGAGATACGCTCGTCCTCGCCTGACCCCATCTTATAGGGAATAAAAAAATCAGACTTCGGATAGACCTGCGCTAGGTTGTACCACTGAGCTGTTATACAACTAGGCTTAGGATGGCCCAGACTTTTTCGGTTCTCTTCCTTGCCGCGTCAACTCTTGCTCATGCTCTTCAATGGCAGCTGGACAGGTGCCCAGCCCAACCTTCAGTACTTCACACTGTTGTGACAAATTTCACTCACATATTCTTCCTATACCATCGTATAAAATCCCAAATTGACACCGAACGAGAAAAGTTCTACCTTTGAAGGAAACCAAAGTATTCCGCGAGATGAGAAATGGGAGGTGTGCATGCTAATCTGATTACCAAACCGAGCTTCCCGAAACTGACAGCTTACACAGGTGTTTCTTGGGTGCCCTTAGCTGGATCTTCCTGTCACACATGGCCACTGCAGAACCTGAACGGACTGGTGTATCTGGAAAATACAAGAGTTGAGATGGAAAATCTTCTTTATGCCCACACTATATTCCATGAAGTCTGGGCAGGAGGAAGATTTCCACCCTCGTACACATGATGTGATCTGCTGGGATGGTCAGCTTTTTCTACTTGCTCTAACTGAGTTTGACTGGACAGATATTGTAGGGGCGGGAGGAAGATTGTCCGTGTGGCCGCAGAAATGTACCATTGTTGTCTCTTTTGCTATCGTGACTTCCTCTGCGTCATCCTAGACCTCTACAGTACAATTCTCGTTTTCTGCAAGTTTTCTTATTCACACGTTATTATAGATTTTTTTACATAAAACTATCAAAAGAGAACACTCATATGTTTCGAAAGTGGCATGAAGCAAAATCATAATATAGCATGATACCATCCGCATGAACCTTTACTTATTGCAGAATGTTGCGTGCTCATCACTTCTCCCTCAAGCAACAAGCACAAAGAGCTTTTGTGCAGACCAGCCCACTCGAAGGGCTTCATCAGCCGAGGGATTGAGAACAGGAAACTCAGATTTCGTGCATAGCGAGAGAGTCGATCAGGCGATGTTGTGGTCATGAGTTACTTTGTATGAAATTTCGAACATGATCTGTAAAAACGTTCAGATCAGTTGGCGTATGTGATCGAGTCTGCAACTGATGTTTCTAGGTCAGTTCTATCTCTTGTCCCGTAAATATAGAGTCATTTTATGCATAATTATATATCGATGCTTTTATGAGATCATAGGGTAATTAATCGTTATTTGCATTCAATTTGGTTGATAACATCTGTACTCAATTTCATTATGAAAATATTCTATCTGATGAAAAGATAATTTTTGGATGGATTTCAACTTGGAATGCTTTAACAGTGACTTCAAGTCCGGGAATTAGTCGGACCTGTAAGTTTCTATGGATGTTTGATGTATAATACATCTGTGAAACTATGGAGTTCCAGATATCATCCTGTTTGCCAAATGATCTGCATTTGTGTGTCTCACATTGCATCACAGATGTCAGAACCTGACGATTTTTCTTTGTTTGAATCGATGATCACGAGAATTACAATCACTTCGTCTCATTGCACTACGCAATTGATACATGATAGCATTGTAAGAACCTACAATTCTCTTTATTCTGAACCTGGAAAATTTGTTGTTGTTTGTTCTTTCGGTACGTTGACCTGCAACATTTCCCGACCAACTTTTAGTGCATGTCAGGTTCCAATTTGTAGATAAGCATTTGTTGCTCGTTTCATGTAGGAAAATGTATTCCTAACTTTACATTCTTACTAGTATCTTTAACATGGAATGGAAACAAATTGCGTGATGCAAGAATTTTTTCATCAATTCTGTTTTCTCTGATTCTTACGTGCTTCAAGTAATGATGTGTTTCAATGTTTCATACGTTGAGTAGTTGTGAATAAAGTAGAAGTCAGTTGATTAAAAAAAATTTTGATTTTGACGTGATATCATATTCAAATACTTTAGGTTTTCAATTGACTATAATTTGATATGTTTTTTTTTTACTAAATTTGAAAAGTTACCACAAGTACCATGTACTTTTGCAATAATATGTGTGTTTTTTTATTCTATTTTTGGATATCACTTTGTACTTTTGCATTGATATATGTGTTTTTTATTCTATTTCTTCATATCATTATATACTGTTCGTGTCCTATTGTATTTTATATAATGCAGTTGACATTTGTTTGATAACTTTTTGGATACTTTTTGGGAGTTCCTGTATATCGGATAGAATGTCGGAGAAATAATCATTGTTACCTTGTGATCTCATAAAAGTTTTTATCAATAATTTTCATGAAATGATTCTATTTACGTGATCTAATAAATAATTAATCATATCATCGAACATTGATATCGCCTTGAAACATAAAATCAATACGACAACAATTTGAAATATTATTTTAAAATCTCAAACACGACCAGATCAGAATATTGACTTTATTATTGAATTTCGCTCAACATTGCATATGAAAAGAAACAACATGATTGGTGAACTGTACAAGTCTATTGAAATGACAAATCTGAACAGAGCCCATGATGAACTTGCACATGTTGTCCATCAGTTTCGAGTAAAAATCTGACGAGGAGCTTCGGTTTAGAAGCATCGATGACCTGCAATAGCTTTTGTGATTTTCCCAGGAGTAGTCGGCCACGGATACTGGGGATTCATGCTCTGAAACCTGTACTCCGTACCGAATGACTTTGCTGAGTTTGATGGTTTCATTTTTGGATGATTCCTCCAATCTCGTCTACTCTAGCCATCATCTGGCAAAAATCAGATCCAAAAGAATACTCGCGTACGTAACGATCCTGTACAGTATTCGGACATGCAGATCCGCTGTTGCTGTATGCATCACTTTTGAGGAATGAGGGTGTCGTTTCTGCATCACAGATGAGCGCGAAACCGCTGCAATGTATGAAGGGCGAAAAGGCAAGTTGAATTCTCTGAAAAGGTAGTCGGTTACTGGAGGAATGAGTGGGTCACTAGTATTCCCCACGTCGGCGTCTAGTGAAGTCAGGTAGGGTGAGGATTTCAAGACCTTCCTTCGTGCCTTCCGTCCCAACCGGTGGGCCAGCCGGTACGGGCTCCACGTACAACAGTTGTTCCAGCATCCGAAGGTCGACCTGAATCCAGCTGATGGAGGTGTACGTCCATCTCAGCCCTAGTGGCCGCCTGTGGCTGCCTTGCTAGAAATGGCCCGGTGCCAACTAACCCACTTGCCCTTTCTGGACCTCTCGCGGTAAGATTCATACTAGGCGACGACTGGAGTTAAACACTCGCGTCGCATATTGGCCTGTCGTTTGCGCCCTGAGACTTGATCTCCAGCGAACTGTGAAGCGGCGGGTGCGAACCTCCTGCGGCAGAAGTCAGTCTTCTGTCGCCTTGGGCCGATTGACCGAATTGCCTAAAAGGCTTCCGGCGTGCTTCCGACGGGATCGGAAACTTTATCACATTTGAGGGCCACTGCGACCATGCGATTCACAGCCGGTGTCCGACTAGATCGGACACCGTACAAGAAGCGCCAGGAGAAGTCGAAGCACCGTCTGACTAGATGAGCCTCTTTGGCCCCAGTTTGTACTATGCCCGGTGCCTCCAATTGTCCTTCGAGTCCATGGCGAGCTGGTGGCTAGGGTTGTGTTGACATGGCGCCTCTCCGACAAAGCACGACGTGAGTTGTAGACATTGCAGTGTTTGTCGAGGCGCAGAGACACTTCTTTCTGGTCGTCATTCTGGCCCAAAGGAGAGGGCGAGGCAGGGCGATACCAACTCCAGCACCAACTTGGCCACCCACGCCAAAGGGCATGAAAAAGGAATGTGCACCGAAGACGATCGTTTGAACTGAATCGGAGACAAGGAGGAGGAGAGGAGGAGGAGGAGCATTATCCTGGACTAGGGTACAAAGTAACAGCTTTCGATGCAAGCAAGCGGGCGCCCAGGAGCCTCGTCGATGACGAAACTATTCGGGCATGCAAACGTGAGTGCCGATCATGTTTATCTTCTCCAAGTTCCGGTGGGAACTCGATGACCACATATATGACTATCCTGTCCTTGTCCATGCAAATTGAAATCATTGTTATCTCGTTCGAACTCGCAGTCCATGTGAAGGTCGATGATGGCAACCTGTTTCGTCCTTGTCTCTAACTTATGGGCGGCACCAGCACCAAGTAAGGTAGGACACCGTCTAGAAAGAGAAAGCCTCGCGCGCCCACCCTCCACCGTCCATTCGCCTCTAGGATCGTAGTTATTTGCTCCAGTGTCGTTAACTATGGCCACCCCAGTACCAACTTTGGTGTGTCAGTCGTCAGAAAGGGCATAACTTTCTCTTTATACCGTCACATTCCCAGCTGCTACTATCATGGTTATTTGTTCCACTACCTGTTTCTTCACGTAAGATGGGTACCACCACCACGTACATTAATCTCTTGTTCTACGAACAAAATTTTGCTTTTCGCTTCTTCCCAGTCCAGCGGTATCACTCTAGCAGCCAAGATTGGCTCGGTTGTTATCTTCTTATTTCCACCCTCCGCTCGCTTCTCTCTTTCCATCGTTCTTTTCTCAGATGCCACTTATTCCGCACTGTGGCAGTTTTGCTGCTCAGCCCGAGAACGCTTCAAGCCTTACACCAAATGTAGCATCCTTTACACGGATTCTAAACTTTCTCGCGCGAGAGTCCTAGGCATGAGGTGTGCAAGAGCTCATTGGACAGATATTATCAGTTTGTGGTTCCCCATAGACTTGCAGGGGAGTATCAAGTTGCAACTGCTTTCACTCATTATTCTCATTCCAAGGTTTTACTAGCCCAACCTCGTGACTTCTGTGTGCTTGCTTTTCAGGCAATTGGCGAAACAATGATACACCTGCCTCTTTAGGCTCCTGTCGATCCATGCAGACTCCTGTCGCATGGCTCGATATGTATGGATTGCATGTGACCTCGATGCAGTGCCACATAAAACAAATTATTCAAATCATTATATCGTCTTCTTTTCATTCCGGCTATAGTTGGAAAAATATAGTATCATATCAAATCTCTGGAACATGAATTTAATTTATCTGGGCTTTCCTCATTAATATTAATAAACGAATCTAAAATTGTTATTATTATGAAAAGAATCAAACGAAGTCTTCATTTCAGAGAATATCAGTGCAACAGCACATTGGATGTCTATCGTTGCATCTAGAAAGTACATGAAAAGCTAAAAAAGAAGTCAATAATTGAAATAAAGCTTAAGAATTTTCAATAATTATGAAGGGAAAAGGAAAGCATAATCTCCATGATTCAACGACATGTACGTTATCACGTTAGTTTAAGTTGCCACTTATTAAACATCACATTCATTTTTTGCTTCAAAGTTCGATGCAGCTAGTGCTTCATTTGTACGCTTTATCTAGTTTTTTTTAAAATCGATATTTCTGACAGAAAAAAAAACATATTAGATAAAATCCTTTTACAGTCTTGCAGAAAATGAATTTACATGAAAGTAATTAATGTAGCTCGTAAAAACATTCAATTTTCTATTTATCAAAAACCAAATGACACACAATTTTGTAAGCATATAAATACAACATCATAACATACACTGATGTAACATCTCAACACCTAACGTAAGATAAAATCACAACTCATTCACAACTCCTGGAGAAATCATCTTTTTGTCTCTTTTAACACTCACGTATTTTAAACTTCCGTATTTTCTATTTTATCTGAAATTGGAATATAATATGCTGTATTTACAACTCATTTTTTATTCAATTTAAAATTTTTACAAGACCTAGTATTCTATACTTGGAAATCTTCACTATCCAATTTCACCACGATTGAAACTTAAATATGAAATCTTCTAAAATAAAATCGCATTCTAATATTTTGGACACTCATGTATGTTATATATATTTTTTTAATGAAAGTTCGCACAACTAGAAAGCTTGAATTTCTTAACATCAATATTTGAAATCTCATATGATGCATATTGATTTAGATGAATAGAGATTTTCATATTATTCTATAAAATTAAAAATCCCTAACGAATCTTTAAACATTCTTCAAATAATTTGCTACTGATTTCATGAAAAATTTTAAGATGTTTTTATTAATTTAAAACATACACCTAAATATTTTCAATCTGAAATTTTTCTTGGAAAATTCATGTTTTTTTCCAAGTTTTATTATTTAAAATTGTATTCAAGTATCAGTATCCGCATTTTTTCATTCATAAAGTTTCATTTAATTGACTATTTTATAACCTTATAAATTAACTTACTTTTTATTTTACATAGAAATGTTTGTAATAATATAAGTTTTGAATAAATCTATAGATTGTCTAAGATTGTGATGTAATTCATGTTTATTGCACGGTTGATATACACTGCTGTCAAATACTCTGAAGACATAAATTAGAATATTGGTATCCATATGTATTGATCTGATAGACTGCAATCTATGAACATTTTAGCTTTTTCAAGAACTTTTCTATGGGACAACTCTTTGAGTAAGATTGACAAGACTCAGTGAAAATTACCATGCAAAGCAAAAGGAACAAATGAAGATTCAAAGTCGAAATAGATCAAAATCTATTTACTCATAAAATAGTTAAATAACAAGACAAATTTGAAATATCTGTTGCCGCTTAAAAGAAGAAGGAAAATAAGTGATCATGTTTGTTGCTGAGATTATACTATTTGATCATATTTGCTACACATTTTGTACTACTTATGTGAATCAAAAAAATAATTTATTCACATCATTTTTTTTGTTTTTATTGTCACCAAATATGTATGCATACTTTACGTAATTATAAACATTGTATGTTTGAAGTATCCAAAATCTAGAAAAATCTATTATTTTTTTAAATTACTAATTAAAAAAATAAAAAATTCTCTCAATATGTTGCGGTTAACTCTTTTATTTGGAGTAACAGTCTATATTCATTCGTCTGATGTCAGTTAAAAGAGGAGTACTTATACGTCTTGTCAGAAGTCTGTAACCCCCTGCTGCAGATTTTCATCAGAGTGATTTACTTTTTTCTGTGGACGTAGCCTAGAAGAAGGGTTAACCACGTATCTGAGTGTACTTGTGTATTCTGCGTGCTTGCGTATGTTCTCATTTTACTCGTGTATGAACAATCGTCTGTCCTCATATGTTTGTTACTGTCACTAGTCGTATTTCTTGTCAGAAAGTGGTATCAGAGCGTTGAGAGAAGCAAGAGAGTCGATGAATGGGCGGAGACGTGCCGTTTCAGACAGGTGAAGTGTGATGAGTGGTGAGTGTCGAGTGTTCGTGAAGAGCAGCAACTTGGAGTTCGACACTTCTTTAGATTTGAATTTGGTTTGAGTTGTGACAGATTTGGTGGGAGTGCCTTTTCGCGTGAGCCGGAGAAAAATTATTGAATAAAAGGTTAGAAGAGGCGTTTTCACATAAGGGACGAGGTGGTCTTTTCTCGTCCTCGGCTGGATATAGGAAGAGAGTTGAGCGAGTGCACTATCGAGCACGTTTCTGTTCTAGGGTTTTGCGACATTCGATGCGTTTTAGATTTTGAGCGGGCGCCGTTCTTTTGGTGGTGCTGTAGTTCTAAAGGAGTAGTTCGAATGGTAGAGTCGCTCGTAGCAGCATGCAATTGGAATGGACGTCGAGTAAACTCGACGTAAACGATACTCTAGTAAACTTGACGATTGCAGGTAGGCGAGCGTGCGGTGCAAACGAGGAACTCTGAAATTTCAGTACTCTTCCTTCGGCAACACGTGGTGCTTACGAGGGTGCAGCGCGGTTTGGGCACCTCCTACAGGTGCGGGCAGCAAGCGGTCAACTTCGGGCAGTGAGCGATCATCTTGGGGTAACTTCGGGCATCCCGGGCAGGTGCGGACAGCTAGTGATCAGCTTCGGGCAGGCCCGAGCACCTCCGGGTAGATTTAAGAATATTCCATTTGCAAAAACATTTTGTTTAACAAAATCTTCTCGGAATATATGCAAATTGAGTGTGGTTAGAAAGCTATCTACGTCATTAAGGCATTGGTGTACCTCGGAGAAGGTGATGGATGAATTTTTGACGGTTTTTGCCATCTAGACAATGCCTAGATGGCAGTAACACAAACTAAAGGATCTGGTTATGAGATTATCAGTTTTGACAGA